CAAGGTATTACTGTGCTATCCGTCTTTTAATAGTGTTAGCCCTGGTGTTTATAATTTTTCCTGTTTCCTGGTAAAAATCTGTTGACGTAGCATTATTACGTTTTTTGCAATGCCAGCACACTGCAGTTTTCAATATTTATTTCGTTTGAATTTTTATATCCACTTATGGGTCAACTAATCAACTGGGGAGAACAATTTATTTCGTTTTGTTCGTCCTAGACATTTGTATATTTTTAAACATCTATAAATTCTTAAACTAACGTTGGCCTGATCCTCACCGAAAGAACGGCGAAGTTGGAACGTGTGTATAGAGTTAAAAAGTCCGGCTATGAATTAAAATATCTATCTACATCTACATGTACATGAAACACTATTAATTGTAACCTACGTAGTTAGGTAGCGCTTCTTTTGGGATATTTAAAGTTAATCGATAGCCCTAATTAGTATCACAATTTAAAAATAAATGCAAGTTTAACGTTTTTTAGTTCCATTAATTGTAATGTAAATAAATAAAAAAAAGACTTTTTATCGTATGTTACCTTCGAACCTCAGTTATGAGATGAATGATAACATAACAGAGGCTTCCGTTCTCATGAACTCATGCCAGCTGAGGCATGTTTCAAGAAATAATCCTACTCTCCTCGACGGTAGCTCTTAATGATTTAGAATCATCCTCTGCTGTTTTGAATTTACATGTATGTATTCGCACAATCTGTATCTATATGCACTTCTTCCAGGAAAGTACGTTGATATATTTTCTAAACGATTTTAAAACTAGACGCGGAAGTTAGGGAAGGTAATAGGTGTTCTCCGGTTTCGTTCTTCTTCTTCTTATTATTATTAAAGTATTCTGTGATTGCTAGTAGAAATAATTCTTGTTTTCTTGCATAGCACTTCGCCTAACAATGGTAGACAATTTTTGCCGGCGTGAATATGTTGTACAGAATGGAGAGATTAAAGCGCCCCAACATTAGCATCTGTTTCAATGTAAAACAGTTTCGGTTTCCCTGAGTAATGGATTGATTATGGGTTAGTATTGTAAACCGTCTGTACATTTGCGCGTCTTAGAAAATCAGTATTTTATAGCCAGAGGTCAGAGATAATGCAGTCCCTGGTGTGTATGAAATTTCCAATATTATTGACAATGGGTAACGATTACATGTACCTTGTTCTCCGCCAAGAATCTCGTCTAGATCCTGTAAACGCGCCTGAAGATCAGCTTCCATGTTTACTGAACTCATACCCGCTGATCAACGTTCCAGAACAATTTGTTTTGCTTTCGTCCTCTCAGTGTGTACAATTGTGGCCGGGTAGATATCGGAACTTCCGCCTAGTCAGGAAGGCTTTGCAAAGTTTCAGAGACTTCGCTCTGTTAAGAGGTTGAACATTTTAACGCTTACCGTAAGAAAGTGAAAAACCATAGGTCGCGCCCTCAAGCGCCCGTAAATGGACAATTATAGTCTTGTGACTCATATTCAGGGAAAGCCCCTTCCCTTCACACTTTCGATATTCAAATTTTCCTCGAGTCAGTCAGTAGTGTCCAGTCCCATCCGGTATGTGTAATCCGAGATTCAATAGTTGATTGAAAATCCAAGATGTCATGCGTGATGGGAAAAGAAAAAAACCGCGAGAAATAAATGACCGCGCGCCCCTTTTTTTCACGTGACGCACGACAGACTAAGCGAAAGAGGGACTACTCGTAATCTAAGAGATGAATGAAGATCGCATCAAAAATCTCCCAGTGCAGAGATTACTATTCACCACGATTGGTATTGTCAAACTCTTTTTTCCAGATCGAAGAGAAGGTTAGGAATGAAAGTAGAAAAGAAAAGAGAGTCCTTGTCAAAAAGGACTGGAGTGCCTGATCGCAGGTGACAGTTCTCTCTGATCATCTAGTCCTCTTTGTCCCATGGGAACATAGGACGTCCACTATTGCCTTCGTTTTATAATAAAGATATTTTAACAGGGAGCCCACGTCACATATGTGGTTTCCAGAGGGCCCCTGCGTACCAAAAAAAGCTCTGTTGGTCTTGAGCCATTCTCTTGGCCTCGCACCAACTTAAAAAAAAAAAAAACTCATGTTGGTCTCGATCAGTTCTTTCTGGATGCTTCTGCGCCACGTAGTTCTAGGTTACCACGTTTCCCTGTGCCCTGCTGGTTCCAATCCAACGCGTGGGATATGTTGATCTTTGGCGATGTTGAAGAAAATGGTTCTATGTTCCGAGAGTTACTTCGATTCTTGTGTCCTCAACGTTTCGGAACAACATGTGGCTCTCCTAGTCGTAGCCTGCATCAGAGGCAGTCTTCATCGCCAAGGATTTTGTGAGATGTTCGGCTGCACCGCATGCTATATCGATATCCTCGTCCCTTCTCGTTTACGTCACCATAACTGGAGATGGTAATTCGTCGTGTAAGCTTTCATAAAACGTCCTGGTTACTGTCACGCCGCGCCTATAACTAACAATTAACGATTAACATTGGTGAATATTTACCGAGACGAAGAGGTGAATATCGAGAACTACAAAATAACGGATTAAAACACGGAACCACAGACGCGATTGTTCGTTTGTTTCCTCATATGCAGCCGTAGTTAGCTTAAATGTACATCGATTGTAAATCAATTTACTAATCGAGTCAGACATTAAAACAAACAAGACAAACTCTGTGAAAAATAAATTCAAACGGTACCAGTTGTACTCACCGTCTAGACAAGAGTACATGTAGCTCCAGTTTGAAGAAAAATAATTTTCGGTCACTCGATCTCACCTGCTGGCGATCAACGCGCGGAAACCACTGCGTTTGCGATTTTTAGATGCCTCGAATACGAGTTCTTGAAAACATATTTTGTCTAAGGGCAACAACAGTCATTTCAGAAATTCCTCATGCTTTCCAATATCCCAAACTTGGAGTGATGTCTTTCGAATTACCGAAAATTTCATTCCGGAACTGTCCACCATGTTTACTTGCCAAGATGGCAAAGATGGCGAGCCCAATAACCAAGCTTCGAAAATGTTATATTCACCGCCTAGTGCGGTGAATATAGCGTTCAATTCTTATATTCACCTGTGGAAATTATACTAACAATGATTTTATTTATGTGTAAGTGAACTAGCCGAGGGTGGAGCCCTCTACTTATTGGAGACACCTAAATCTAGTTACAACAATACAATAAGCTGTGAAGTCTGAGTGACATTTTACATAATTAACGCTAGTCTAGATACTACAGAATATAAACTGTTTCACAATTATGATTATGAGCTCGAAATTTCTATGAGGTGAAAGTTGATGAGGCCGAAAGCCGATTCAACTAGAATGGAGAGCGAATAATCTAATTGTCTAGTAGAGGTCTTTGAAACAACGATTCCCAATTATTCTCTACTATTAAGTACTCCTTACTATTAAAAGTCACGCTTTAGCAAATCCGCGCGCCGATTGAATTATGTTTTGAAACTTGCAGCTGTTTACACGCGCTCATAAGTTCATTGAAACATTGACTAATTGTTAAATATAATCAACAATAAGATTAGGAGCTCGAAATTTCTATCGAGAATGAGGACACAGACCGAGTCACCTATCACGAATTTCAGAGCGGAAAAGCGTAATAAGCATACGTGAGTTTTGGCCTCGCGTTCGAAAAAATGGCGGGAATTTCGTCGACCATGTAAACAAAAAAGGATACGAAGTTTATTATGCTTACCCAATTTTCCCGGTAAGCAACAACATTGTAACGTCACAGATGGAAAGCTGGTGTATTGTTGTCGTGCGTAATCAAAGTTTTTCGGACAAAATTAACCTGAAGAAGGTTTTCCGAACCCTTTATTTCCCCGCAGTATACAAGAAATTTCGGTGCGAAGACACATTTTTTCTACTACGACTCTTATCATATTGCATCCACATAATCACACCACTGAATATATAAGCAAGAGAGCCTCCCAGTAGGCAGGGGAGCCTTGTTTAATTAACAGTGAAATGCCAAAAAAAAAAAAAAATAAAAGAAAATCACGCTTGTCGAAGTATAAGTAAATCGACGAGCGACATCCTCGCGTACCTTATTACAGTTCGGCGTTCTTCCACCATTGCAGGACCCATCGCAGCCTGCATTATTACTTGAGTCCTCAATCAAGTTAAATGATATAGTTTTATTTTGTTTTCCAACAATGCGTTTTATTGTCATCTTTATCACCGCAGTTTGTGTGTTATTCTTGTTAGAGCTAGGGATGCGCAGAAAGCTGCGCAGTACATTTTTCCCATCTGAAATCACGCAAAGAAATCGACAGCGAATAATCTAATTGTTTTAGTAAGTCGTTCAAAACTTTCTCCTCTTCACAGGCACTTAGAAAACGCAAAGAAGCGGCCGCCAGTTTGTTAACAAGCGCGCACTGCTAAGCTACTTACTCAATATCTCCAACAGAATAGATGGATAGATAGAATAGATAGCCAGTAAGAGAACAACATTTGTGATAGAACGCTTCGCTAGTAGATTTATAAAATACTAGAATTCTACTCGTATTCTATTGCAAATGCTGCAATCTGATTGGCAGACCTACTCGCACACTAGTTATCAGCCATTAGTGTCCGAGGTTTCGAGGAAGATTTAGAAATATCAAGAGATCTTTTAACTCCCAACACACACAAAAAAATCAATGTTTCAACGAAATTTCCATTCAGCAACTGTCCGCCGTGTGTACTTGCCGAGATGGCAAAGATGGCGAGCTTAGTAACCAAACCTCGGAAACGTTATGTTCACCGCCTAGCGTGGTAAATATAGCGTCCAATTCTTATATTCACCTCTGGAAATTATACTAATATATGATAGCTGACCCGTACATTATGCACCAACTATACGTTCATTCCTGCCTGTAGATGTTCAAATTTATTGCTGCCTCTGGTGAGGGAGCCTGGAGCGACCGATAAGGAGTTGGATCGAAGGTTTGCTTCTTTTTATGACATTGGGGAAAAAAGAAAATAGCGACTAAAAAGTACTCCGGCTAAATATAATCAATCGAACCCAATCGAACTCAGCCGAACTGTAGTGTACCTAAGCTCAAAAGATTCCTTCACAGCAAGCCAAAATAGTTTTCGGAATACTAATAAAGCTCTCTGTAGAAAATTGGAAAATTCCAGACTACCGGGCATTTTCCTAGCGCCAGGCATATAGTTCCTGCGTGAGGCCTGGTTTTCTTACGACATAAGCACAAAAACCAGCCTGAGCATAATGGCAGTGAGGACGCCCAAAACACAAGCGTAACCAAGTACGTATGAGCTACCGTTATGCTTATGCTTGTGCTTATGCTTATGTAATAGTAAAAACCAGGCTTTAATGTTGCACAACATCCGCGTCACTCGGCAGATAAAGATCATCATTTTCGTCATGTCATAAACGTTAAACTAAACATTTGAACATTTAAGCGCTTTCTTATGGCGACATAAAAAGCTCTTCACATCTAATATGATAATGACAAAAACTATTTGTACATTGATGATATTTGCTTTTCTTTCTTTTTTCTCGCGATTTGAAGCGTGGAAGGAGAGTTTTGTAGGGTGGCCCACAACTGTCACGGCAAAAGAAACAACCTCACGGCAGAAGTAAACGACTCACGGCAAAAGAAATAACATCACGGCAAAAGAAATAACTTCACGGCAAAAGTAAAAGACCGTAAAAGACTCACGGCAAATAGATAAACCACCCTACTAAAGAAAAAGGACAAAAAGACTCACGGTGAGGTTGCCGTGAGGTTATTTCCTTTGCCGTGAGTCTTTTTGTTTTGCCGTGAGGTTATTCTTTTTGCCGTGAAGTTATTTCTTTTGCCGTGAGGTTATTTCTTTTTGCCGTGAGGTTATTTCTTTTGCCGTGAGTCTTTTGCTTTTGCCGTGAGGTTATTCCTTTGTTATGTGTGAATAGGTAAAGGTAAAGTCTGCATGCGAGCCAAGTGGCCCATCAGGCCGGAGCTTATCCCGGTTTCTGTAGCATG